GTGCATGACTTTAAACACTCAATTTTTAATTATTTCATTGTATCATTCTCAGTAAATGCAATTACTCTAGTTCCATTATAGAAAATAAAACCTGAACTGGAGCTAAATTAGATCAATCATGCATTCAGCATACGTAAGGTTACCTATTAAGCTTGAGTGATGTGCCAATGGGTCAAGCCCACAAAAGTTTGTTCCATTCAAACTGTTGTACAAGAAATATAAGGCATGTATTTAAATCTATAACATTTTCAAACAATGTTGAATAAGTTGATTTGCACAAATTTAAGTTACTGCAATTGGCACTATAGCAGGAACATTTGTGTGAGTGGGTTCTCCTTTTATCAGTTCTTATGTGTGCACATAAACACATGCAAGCCCATCCACAAGCATACGGCTGATGCAATACACATTCCCGCCAATGGTTTCACACAATCCCAGTAATCTATACGTGGTGGTAATGCGCCAAGATTCACAGCAATGTGCCAACAAACGCAGCGCAATAAAAGCCTGAAAGCTAGTATGCATGGGTGTACTCAAAAGAATTAGATTCACGAATGTCTTTTGATGAAGAAAATACGTATAATGGATTTTTTTTTAACCTCGCTGATATGCAACATTTCAGTGAGAAATATAGATATTCAAACTTGTATTTTCATTTACACGTGAACATCAAAAATCTAAAAAAAACAGCATTTTCACTACACATCAAGTACAACTTGCAAGATGGACAGTAGGATAACATCAGCACCTACGATCTTAACACGTTTCCCTAAAACTAAGAATGTAACATCGGCATCCACGTCACTGCATTGTTAGCTAAGCTATGCAACAGTAAGTTGCACTGTAAGCAACTGAGTCCTACAGCATATTGTAAGACTGTAAATACCCTCACTCTTTCTCTATCACATCCATACATCAGCTTCCATAATCATGGCTTCAGAACAAAATCAAAAGGACCACATTCCTCTCTGAATCTGTAACATTACTTAGTGCTTTAGATTGTTTGGCACCACAGTGGCTCATTGATTATCTTTGCTTCTCCAGCAGCAACTGGATCCAGGCTTCAAACTTGTATAGAGTTTAAATGTCCTCTGTGTGCTTGGGTAGGTTTTCTCTGGGAGTTCTGGTTTCTCCTGTGTTGATGCTCAGTCAATGCTGCCTACCTTGGCCCAGGACACTCAATAAACTTGATTAAAAAAAATACAT